GTACAAATCCAAGAAGCTCCCATTTATTCTGGGCGGTGGATGTGGGACGATGATGCACTCGCTCCAATTAGGAACTGACTGAGCGGCTGCAGGGCTGTGATACATTGCGACTTTCACTAACAGCCCAATCTTTTTGGCTAAAACCAACATTTTAGTGCGTGGCTGAGGGCTAACCCCTCACGGAAATGCGAGTCACACCAGCTTCATAAGATGCAGTCGCATGGATAAAATGGCAACTGGTGACACCACAGAATGTGAAAACAACAATCATGTCATTTGGTGCTGCCATCAAGGTTATTTTTGAATAATGCTGAGTCTGGAAACACCCAACATTTTTAACAAGAACGAAAAGAGAACGGCAATAAAAAAATTAAAAAAAAGTTCTCCCAGAACAAAAGTGTTGCTTGTTTCTTCTGAAATATTTGAAACATACGGCGGCGAACATCTCATGTTTCCTGCCAGATATGAGCTTCTGTTGGAACTGATGAATCTTAAATGGAAATTAAAGGAAAGAAAATCCACCTTTGAACTATAATTATCTGAGAGGTCAAATGGACTAAGTTGTTTTCAAAATGCTGCCTAATTTAGTTTATCAGGAATTGTCTTACAGTCATTTTGAACAGTGAAAAGTTGCGATGCTTCCAGTCAACATGGGCTTTCATTTGCATATGAAAGTAGATACATCATCTTAGTAGCTGTTCTAAGTCCTCTAGCTCTGTGCTATATACTGCTCTGAGGCAGCAGATGAAAACCAAATTGTTTTTTCTTTTTTTTGCATAATTCTTTTAGACTTTAGGCCTCTGAGAGTCTTTACTGTTGCCCCTGGGGTGTAGAGTTACATCATCTTTAGAATGGATCTCTTCATTTCTTGCAGGTTTCTCGCCAAACTGGCTTAGGAGCTCAGAAGAACTGGAAACAACTGAGATGGAGGCGGTGGAGCTCAACTCAGCCATGTGTTTTTCACCCAGTCCTGTACTGTGAGGACGATGCCACGATATAAAACTTTTCTGCTTTCATAATTGGTAACCGTGAAGCCAGAGGAAAAAAAACAAGAGAAAACGCAGGCTCACAGGTATTTTCTTCCAAATGTAGGGGTGAATAAAAGACAAAGGCTGACTTTAATAAACAGGAGTCCGTGGAACATCCGTCACAGCCGATTACTTCAGTATGCTACAGGAATCAGATTTCTTCATCGAACGGGAAATGATTTTTCGAGCGTCTGTATTCTAGGATTTGGTTTAGCGACGCTTCATCGGCTGTTGATGTAGTTGAGTTTCTGGCGGACCTGCTGGCCAAGGTGAACGTCTGGAGTGTGTCACGCCAGGAGAGTCGCTGTGCCTGTCCGTCCACTGGGATAAACGTGGAGTCCCATGACTTCTTTCGAACCTTTCAGCGGCACTCAGTGGAGAGAGAGAGATGGGAGGAAAAAAATGAAAAGAGAACAAGGAGCAGTGTGGAATATCACTTAAGGTTTTTCAATGGAAAATCTGGCTCAGTGGATCTGGAAGTTTGTCCACCTGAACGTGGTCAGGAAGGAGAAGACAAAGAAAACTTGGTTTTATTGTTTTTACAGGAAGTGACAGTGGGAGCTGCCTCACCAAACCTCAACACTTCATGTCGCTGCTCTGCTATCAATTGACAAACCATTGAGTTTGCAGGCATAGATTTTTGGATTCCAGCTCTGCGACAGAGTTCAGTTTCAGGAATACCAGCGGCATGCGGCGGATATTAATACAGTATGTCAGACGACCGATCCTCAAGGAGAGGGACACACTTTGGAAGTGTTTGAGGTCATTTCAGCTCCCTGGGATACCAAATACTAAACAGAGGGCTAGCTGACGATCGAAGTCATCGTGCTGGATCCGCGACACCACAAGTGCGCTGAAACCTTTATTTGAATAAACATTTTGGTCTCGATCTGGATTCACCCGCTATAGGAGGGAGATCTTTGTGTGGTCCTGGTTCAAATAAACACAGCTAAATAGCTGCCATCGTTTTGAAAGGCAGCAAAAATACACAGCAGACAGCAAACGACAGCAAACACCGCTGGGACCCAAACCGCTAATGTGCGGTGTGTGCTTGGTGCGCCTCGCTTCTGTGTGCACTCAGCTGCCGCGGTGGTTCGACATGATTAGTTTGTTTAGCTCTGAATTACCGCCCTGCCCTCTAGTGATAAACAAACATCTTTTATGGTGAGATCAGCGCTGAGTGGTGGCCAAACAGAGATCCGAGGGCATTCCAGAAAAACTCAGAGTATTTAAAACCAGAGTTTCTGGAAAATACCATTCCCAGCAGCTTAGGAAGGCAGCTTAGTCTAGGCTGTGTTCACACTGTAGCCTGAAGTGACCCAATTCCGATTTTTTTGTAAAATCGGATTTTTTTTTTTTTTTTTTGCCATGTCCGTTCACACTTCCAAATATATGCGACCTGTGTGTCCAGTGTGAACGGGCAAACGACCTGAACGCGTCCCACATGTGCAATAGAGGGCGCAATAACGTCAGCGGTCTCAGTGTTTTGCCAAGCTCCATAAAAAGAAGTGCTCAGTGTCTGCGAAAGTAAACATGGATGCTAACCGTGGAGCATAGCTTACACCTTTGAATTGTTGTCCGACCGGAGCAACATATTAACAACTTAATCCTCATTATAGTTGGTCATGGTTGTTGTTTTTCTTCCCGCTTGCGCGTATCAGGATGCAGAATAGTGAGATTTGTTGAGTATCGGTGACGTTCAGGTCGGATGAATGCGACTTGGACGTTAGGTCACATTTGAATCGGATACGTATCGGATACCCAAGTGGCCTGGGATGCATTCAAAAAGAATCCTGTGCTATTCAGACTGTCATGAAAAGATCAAATAGATGTCGCATTACGTAAAAAAAAAAAATCGGAATTGGGTCACTTCAAGCTGCAGTGTGAATGCAGCTTAACTTTAGTAAATCACCATGGTAACAGATACTACAAAAGTAACTGTTCACACTGCTGCCTGAAGTGACCCAATTGCGATTTTTTTTGATGTTGCGCAACCTGTATCTGATCTTTTCATGACAGACTGAACAGCACAGGTCGGATTCTTTTTGAATGTGACCCATATCCAATTCGTATCCGATTCAAATGTGACCTAACGTCCAGGTCACATTCATCCGAAATGAACGTCACTGATACTCAACAAATCTCACTATTCTGCTTCCTGATACGCGCAAGTGGGAAGAAAAACAACAACTATGACCGACTATAATGAGGATTAAGTTGTTAATATGCTGTTCCGGTTGGACAACAACTTCAAATATGTAAGCTAAGCTCCACCATTAGCCTCCAAACACTGAGCACTTCTTCTTTTTATGGCGGTTGGCACTGAGAACGCCAACGCTATTGCGCCCTCTAGTGCGCATGCCGGACACTTTCAGATCGTTTGCCCATTCAGACTGCAGAACACACGTGTAGCTGTGTGAATGGCCCGGCAAAAAAAATCTGATTTGACAAAAGATCGAAATCGGGTCACACCAGGCTGCAGTGTGAACGCACCCTATTGAGTAGTTGTTTTTTTTCCCCAAGAATATTTTTTTTTATCTAACACCTCTAGTTGATTGTAGACGTTTTCTTTGTCAAAACTGTTTTGCTTTTCGAAAAGCAAATCAGTTCATTCACCATTGCCATTCACCATGGCAATGGTGGATGTTTTGTATAAGGCCAAAGTATGTTGAGCTGAACTCAAACATACCTTGGTGATCATAATGTGCATTCCCTGGATATAAGCCAAAATGCTTTTTTTGTGATTCTTATTTGTGAAATGTTCTGTATAAATAGGCTTTATTTACTTATTACGCACTGTGAGCTTTTACAGGGTTCTGCTATGTTGGTTATATAAATTTATTCATTGGGCTACATAGTTCTGCTTTATGCAGGAATAAATCACGTAAGGTGTTTGGCTGTAACCACAGACGGGAATTAGACTGAATTGACCTTTTCAGACGTGGTTCCAAATGTGATTGGATGCACGTGTGACATGCATCTGAAGCTTCAGAATTTGCAGAAATCATTTTTGCTAAATAAGACATGGCTGCTCAGACGTACCACAACCATAGCCAACGCAAGGAAAAAATATTTATTAAGCATTTGTGTTTTGGGTGTTATTTGTTTTTTATTTACTGTTTTTAACAGAATTCAACTGCTTATAGGCTGTGGTCAACCTGAGGAGGCTAGCACTGAGTTTTAGCAGTACTAAACAAATTACACAGAAATATAAACATTTGAATAAAAAACTTAAAGATACAACCCTAAATAACTTATTCAAATAGGTGACTTGGGGTTTAGTTACACTTTAAATGCATCTGCCTTCAACTCTGCCTGCATCTTGAGTCCCACTACAAAACAACACCAAGACAGACGGTCCTTACCGAGATGAACCAAACAGTTCACATATGGAACATAAAGCTAACAGAATGCAGATGAATAAATTGACATGAATGAAAACTTTCCATATAAGTTATCAAAAATTCTCAATGTTTAAATCGGGACAATGCTGCCCAGACATTATCTTGTCTGTTTAAATAGGAATTACATTTTTAGATTACGACCAAATCCTTCCAAATAATCTCACAACCTCAAATAAAAATTCCAAACTGTAACCGAGTAAAACAAGAAGACGGTTAACGATTCAAATCCAATTTGAACACAAATACACCCTGGACACAAGGTTAGCAGAAATAACACGGTCCAAATTTTTGAGACCATCTTCCATTACTGCCACCTAGTGGTATGTTTGTTTTGTTGACCTGATGACAGACTCCACACAGTTGGTTCTGGTTAATCCTCCAGTCTGATCCGTCTGCAGGTCCAGTCTTTGTCATGAAACAAAAACCAGTCGGTTAGAGTGAACACTTAGTTTCTTCATGCTCTGTCAAGTCACATATTGTGTCCCCAGATAAAATAACTTGCAACCTTCTGAGTGCCAAGTTGCTGTAAAACTCTGTGCGTCATGACATATAAAATAGATGCCACTGCTTCATTCAGAGATTTATTCATTGTTGTTACAAAACACCATAAAAAAAAACAACTTCACATGAAAACAAATCAATCAAAAGGGAGATATGTATTTGGTCATTGGACTGAACATCCAGTCTCCATTTGAATAAGCAAAAAATAAAATAACATTAAAAAAATCTCACTTTGTGAGTCAACATAAAAACAATCTGATCGTTGCCATTTTAAATATAAATAATGAAAACATCTTTCTGTTTCATCCCTATGTGTCCTGATTTACTGTGTGATGCTACAATGTGCATAATGACTCCTCTGTTGTCAGGGGAACAAGGTTCTCCCTGGTAAGGCATCGACTCTGTCCAGGATCACAGACGATGCCTTCAGTTCATTGATACAGAAACTTAATTTACAAAATGATTGGAATGAGCTTCATTGTTTGTCCTCATTTCACCTCCTCCCTGATTTATTTACTGTACCGTCGACCCTAACAGAGTTCTGTTGACTGGCCGTAATGCAGACAGATTAGGCAGGTAACCATCGTTCCCTGAGTGAGGCTTCACACTCCAGCTGGTATAGTTACTTTACAAGGCAGGTAAGGTATGAAGAAACATGTTAAAATGTGTATTTAAAGGTTCTGACTGGATCCTCCCAGATGAAGTGGAGAGTTTGTTGAAGACTTCATGGGCTAACCAGTGTGACCGGTCTCTGGTTGTTAGGGCAGCAGAGACTTTCTGTCCCTGAACCCTTCCTACCTTCCCCTGCCTCCTCTCAGTGTGCGAGTTGTGAGGCTCATGAGTGACCCAGAAGTTCAGAGACAAAGGTGGGGATCCAGTTCCTCCCTGCCTGGATCCGATGTATAGAAACACCTATAGGAGGCCAACAGCCTTACTGGGGATTGGCAGGTTTGACTCATTTCCTTCTACTTGTTTAGGCACACTGACTGAAGTAACGCAAAGATATCCTTCATTTCTTGAACTTTGTTTCATTTTGTTGAAACACCTCCCCAACCACAAACTTTAAGTACAGACTTTTGTTAAATATTTGAGACAAAAAAAAACAAACAAAAGAAAAGTCACTGTGCAACTTCACTCGTTTGCAAAGTCCTTGACCATAACAGTCTGCATATCATAAAACTCAAACTGAGCAATTCATGTTACACTTTCGGTTTCATAACACATGAACAATACCTTGAAGGCGTATTAAATTAAAAGTCAGCACAGAGGGCCAACTTCACTTTCTCCCAAGGACATGAGGGTTTTCTTTTTTTTTTTTTTACAACTGTGAGCTTTTCCAAGCTCACCACAAAAGTTTATGACATGTGCACCATTAGGAAAAGTATTTTCTCTAGAAACAGACTCTTTCCACTGGATGCCAAGACATGATCCTAATGCAACAGTCTGGATAAACAAAACTGACCAAAACAAAACAACCAGACATCCAGGCAACCCCAACACAACCATGAGGCACACAATAGTTCACATCAGCACCTGATCAACTGAGCAAGAAATTGTCATTCTCATTGAAATTTTTAATTTCACTAGTCACATGATATATTGCTGAACAGAAAAAGCAGCCGTGGCAAAGGCATCACGGTGACCGGGTTGAAGGCTGATTTAGTGGTAAATCTGAGGCAGCTCTGTGGTAAGAGTCTGGTAATCAGAAGGTTTTCAGTTTGATTTCTTCAAAATCGTGTTTATGGATCTTAAGGACACTTTGGATAATAATATAACATTACAAACATTTCTTGCTTCAAGAATGGGAATATTAAGGCACTGATAATGGCAGGGAAATATTAAAAAATGGGAACTTCAATATGACAAAATGATTTCTTCTTCAGCTTTAAACAAGCCCTTTTCCCTCCGTAAGTAACAGTTCTCTTCATTTAAAGGGGAGTTCAGTTCAAACTTGCTGAGAGAGGAATGTTTGCTGGTTTCTACATTTGGATGGGAGGACGTCAGAGCTAGAACCTTTTTAACAGTCTTCACCTCGGCTATATGGGAGGACTTCTGGATGATGCAGCTGGTTGTCCCGGAGACGCTGTCCTTCCCCTGAGCCAAGTTGGTCAAGGCCATGGCGGCGTTGATCTCCTTCCAGTACGTCTCATCTTTGGCCTTCACCTTCTCCTTCTGCGTCGCTGCGACGCCACCGTTGCCCCTGACGACCGGCACAACACGCAAACACGCACAGAGAGAACAAAACACAGAGTGTTACAGCTCACGTTCAGCTGGTGATTGGACACAGGTTATCTGGGGAGAGAAGGTCGACTCACTTGTCATGTTGACTTGATCCATGGTCTGTGGCTTCTGAAAGCAGAGAGAGAAAAGCTCAGTAGACTTCTCTGGGTCAGAACACCAGGACACTCTAGGAAAAGAGGTTTTTAATCCCAAGGAGTTTTTTATCCTGGTTAAATAAAGGTTGATGATGAGGACCTGCATGTTCAGCAGATTAGTGAATGTGTGTGTGTGTGTGTGTGTGTGTGTGGTTTTTGACTTGTGTTTTGTTCTTCCAGTGGACACCGTGTCCTCAGCAAACATGTGCTGCTCTGGTTTCTGTCTTTATTTAAGATGCTGGAGGAAAAAAACACGTTTTAGCAAGAAGGCTTCAAACGTAAAGGTGACTGATAGGATGGAGCTGAAAGATGTTTCTTATGACTCATAAAATCCACGGTGTAATATTTAGTTGGAAAACAAGTGGAGCCCAGCCAGCATAATTGAGTTGTCTGAAGAAATCAGATCGAAAAAGACGGAGCGAAACAGATCAGAGAGGGAATGAAAAGGCAGCGAGTGAGTCAGTGGGAGAAAGATGGCCGCCTGCTGGCTCTCCTCCCCCCTCCTCAATGGGACCAATCTCCATCTCATCTGTGAAACATTAGTGAGAAACAGCAAAGTCATTAAACAATGAAAGTAAAGTTGTCTTTATGGCAGCCAGAGTGTTTACTTCAGCTGTTTACTGAGAGTTCTTGGTGTTTTTAGACCTCAACCTGTCTTCTGTCTCGCGTCCAGCCTTCGCTCAGATCTGCCCAGCAGTGAAAATGACAACACAAGCTTGGAGTTTCATGAGGCATTAAAAGACAGCAGAACATCTGGACTTTTTAGCTGTGCAGCCTCCAGGCTCTCTCCTTAAGTTCACTAAACATTTAAGAAGTTTGCTCTTTACCAGCTAGAGATGACTGGATGAGCAGAAAATGTTCAAAAGAGGAAAATAATCTGAAAGTTTCCATTTAGTCCAAAGGTATTAAGAGTGTCAGACGTGCAGCAGGTCATCCTTTGTTCAGAATAAATCCCTCACAGGGAAACCCCGTCTTCTACAACCTCCCTCTGCACATCCTGCATGTCAATCGGTTCCTCCTCCTGAGTATCATTTTCATCTTCACTGCAGCTTTTCTTATGAATATAAAAGTCCAACATCGTGAAAGCCAAAACATTAAACTGCTCTGAAAAGCTTTAAAAGCCTCCAGAGTTTCCAAACATCCTGATCCACTGATCTCATCTCTGCAGGCTCCACCAGCCTCAGACTCTCCATCTCCTCGCTGCTCTTCTGTCTGCTTCCCATGCAGTCTGAGCCATGATGACAGGACAAGGTCTGAGACGCTCCGGGCTGATACGGCCTGATTAGGAAATGCTCCTCTAGTTTTCTGGTTCATTTTTGGATTCTTCCACAGAGAGGAGCCTGACCTCACTCACCACAGTTCTCTCCTTAGAAGAAGAGAAGGAATGTGTGAGAGGGAGATGAGGACGTGATAACCCAGAGTTACAAACCACTCACTTTTAGTTCAGGTTGTAGTTTGTCAGAGACTTCCAACAATATCCTCACATTCCTGTCTGTCCACAATTCCCTGCTGTGCCGTCTTTTCCTCTGCTGTCGTCCTGCTTTATCTGAGAGTCTCTGTTTCACTGACGTTCCCTCAGTCTCCATCCTCTGCACTAAAAGTACAAACCAGTTTCACAGTTTGATGGGATCTGTTCATCCAAACTGGACGAAAAAGTGTGTGTGTGTGTGTGTGTTTTCTATCCCCAGCTTTCGGTGATTCAGTGTGTGTGAGGCAGCCATTGCTCAGATGATCTGTTCTGATTGGTGGAGAAGGTTCACTAAGCTACCATAAACTCACAGACACCAACTGGTTCCTCTGGTTGCTCATAATCACAGAATGTGGAGACACACCTCTGCTTACAAAGAGTCTATTTCCAAAGCTTCTTGCCTAAAACATCTGAAACTCTGATTTTTCCAAACAAAAGTAGCTCCAACGACTCAATAAATCAGCAATAAATCACTGGCCCAGTTTCTGCTTCTTTCCTCCTTTGCTGCTGAACACTCAGTCAGCTCTGCTGCTGCCTCTGGGCTGCTCTGACAGCACGCTTTATGGAGCACCAAAGGGGAAAAGCTGAGATGTCTGCTGGTTTCTGGCATGGAGGTGGAAAATCTAAAATACTGGCTGACTGAACACTGAGGCGAGAGGAGGGAGAGAAGAGAGGAAAAAGATGGAGTTTAACAAAGACGGAGCGATGCTCCACCTGTTCAGATGACTGTGGTGGAGACTGGTTTTGCTCCCATTGTTACCATCTGCTGCTGCCGTTAGCAACTAGCACCAAGCTGGGGGTTGGACAGGAGCACACCAACACACACCAACCACTTCCTATGACCCATCAGGCTTTCAGCTGGTTTATCTAAAGTGCCTTTCAATCAGAGTCAGTTTTTAGCTCCAAGTTGCTTCCTGCAACTTGGAGCTAAAAACTCCAAGTTTTTTTTTTTTTTTTTATTAAATCAAAGGCGACACAGAGCTGAACAGACACACGGTCTGATTGTTCAGGACCAGAAAGGAATCACTGTTCAGTCAATACTTGATGCTGAATCAAAAAATAACATCTTTTCTGTCTGTCCATTTATGGTAGATGGATATTTGATCATTGTATTAACGGAACAAAGAGTTTCTGATTATTCAGTTATTTTCCCAGGGGAAACAGAAATGAACCATGTGGTTAGTACGGCGACACAGAGAATAAAAACAACATATTAACTCAATGAGACATCAGCAAACCTGCATGTATCTTAATCCAAGAGAGACCTGTGGTGAGACTGAAAGCCGAAACCTGATTGGTCAACATTGTTTCCCATTAGTAAAGACCATGCCTCAAAATTAACTAAAACCCAGAAGAGAAGGAACTCAACATGTAACCGCCATGTTTGTGTGGCTCCACATTTTTTCTGTCTGAACTTTATTTGAAAAAATTAAACAAAAAAAAAACTCGTTGGCCATAAGGAGCAGGGGTGGTTTTTTATATGAGCTACAAGCTACAGGGGAAGTTGCCCAGGGTGGCATTAGTTCTCCTGTGTGGAGCAAGGTCTCTCCTGTGGCCTTCAGGGTATTACTCTGCTGAATGAATGAATGAATGGATTTTATATCAATTGGAATGATGTACAACATATATTAGCCAATGAAGAAGTACCAGGTTGTGGCTACAAATGCTAATTTATATCTATAGTCACATCACTGCTAATCAGTCAGACGAGGTTACTGTCGTCCATAAAGAAAACTGACCAAAAGCTGGCTCACTGTTTGGAAGAGAAGCCAGACAGATATAACTGGAAAATGAAATCAGGTTTAAACCAAAATATGGAAGCAGTCATGTCAGAAATCTCGTTTTAACATCACTTCATATTTAACTTTCTAAGAAAAAAAAAAATCCCCCAAACTGCCTTCTCTCTACCCATTATGGCTGCTTTGTTTCCTTCATTTGGTTGAGTACGCAGATGGGGAACCATTTTCAAGCTCTCCATTATTTAGTGATCAATTTGGGGAAAAATATTCAGATTTTGCTCACTGATGCCGTTTTTATGACGTCCAGTTGGAGTGTTAATGGCTAAACCGTAGAATACAAATGGAGTCTGTATCCACGACTCATTAGGAGTCATTTGGCAGAAATTGATCCACATGATACAGAACCAAATCTGGAGCTGAGTGAGACGGGAAACAGTCAGCCAGATTCCTGCCTTTTAAGATCCCATTAAAGGCTCATTGGCCATGGAACCTCTTGCCCTGTGTGATGGAACTGTGTTGCTTCCTTGTGTTCAACAAAAACCCTTTCGGACTGCAGAGTGTTTGCATGTGGCTGCCGGTGTTTGATGTGTGCTCACAACTTAACGGTCATTTATTGTCATGGTAATTTCACCGTTCTGCAACAAATGTTAGCTCATCCTTGCATTCAGGATCTGTAGGCCTGGAATATATTTGGTGATGTTTGTTGCTTGAGTTGGAAAAATCATTACGAAACAAACTAAGTTGTTTTGTTGCCATAATAGCAAATATCAGTCAGGAGCCAGTATTTCATTAAATACGTCAGATTAATTTTTTTCCCCTTATTTTTTTAAAACAGCAATGTGTAACTTTTATTAAAAATATGTTTTTCACATATTTGTCACCATGTTGTGACAGTTTGCTATGAGAGAGATGATTTGTGAAAAGATCAATCTCCTCCACCTCTTCACTCAGCTAATTTTGCAGTCTGAAGAAATGCACCGCTCCCAGTCAAAAACATCCAATCAGAGGGCGCTAGTGAGCGATGGAGAAGTAGGCAGCGTTTCCCTAGAGCTCCTGCAAATTTCTAAATATATCTATCACTAGCTTGGCATTTAGGCAGTCTTACAACAGGTTGTGAGAGAGAACAGTCTGGACTTTAACTTCATCAGGACAGGATGAAAGCAAATTTAAGGATGCATACCGCCAACAAGGTGAAGGTGAAACTACATAAAACTTTTTCTAACACATTCTCATTGTGAGACAAATGCCATATCGAAGAAGCCACGCTTCTCCACTCTTACTCTGTGTACTAAATTAACCCCATTTTGGTCTGGCGTATTCGAAACTTTATCAGATATGTTCCACAGAGCTGAGGCTGGACCCACTTCTGATTGTACTCAGTGTTTCTGATCAGCTTTTTCAGTTTAATAAAAGTCAACAACAATTATTATCTTATGCCTTTATCATAGGAAAAAAACTAGTGTTGATGTTTTGAAAAAAGCAGTTCCATCCGTTAAGTTGTGGCTTGAGGAACTGGTAAGGCTCTCTCATTTGGAAAGATTAAGGTTCTCATTAGCAAATAATTTAAAGCAATTTAATAAAACTTGGCAACCCCTTCGGCAATATATTGATAACTCTATTTGTGGAGGATTTGATCCAAGTCTCGGTGTGATAAGATACAAGTCCTAGGGAAAGGGAAGGGGGTGGGTAATGGGAATGTTTTTGCTTATGTCATTTGTTTTGTTTTTCGTATTGTCTTTCTTATGTTTTATGTTCACATAAGAAAAATGAGGACAAATTTGTATTACTGATGTTTTATTGTCCAGGTCTGATCCCTTAATAAAATTGTTGACAACAAAAACATCCAATCAGAGCAAGTGGGAGGGTCTTAGCGCTGTCAGTCAATCTCATGTACTTGCTGCTAAATGTGCTAATGGTGGAGAAACAACTTACTGTTAAATGAAAACTGCTTATCTGCCGTTATCGGTGGCCATGCTAACTACACTGATAATTCACAACAGGGTCTAAGCACCTGCTACATTGCAGGTGCTTAGACCCGCCTCCTGGCTCTGATTGGTTGTTTCTGGACAGCACTGGGACAAGGCAGAGGAACTCCATTTTTTTCTCATATATTATCTCATACCATACTGTCACAACATACTGACAGTTTACGCAAATATGTAAAAAAAAATTTTTTACAGAAGTTAAATAATGCAGCTATAATGCTTTTTAATTTCTATTAATTCATCTTAAGACATTGTTACTGCAACATCCTCCAGTATTATCACATGCTGCTTGTTTTCCTTCCACCAGGCAGCTCTAGTGTGGATGTGATGTTTGAGGTCTTGGAGCTTCACCAGTGGGATTCCTTTCAAGCCGACTGAAGTTTAGTTTTTAACTGGAGCCAATCCATGATCTCCATTTGCTGCCACGTCTGACTGCTCTTTGTAGTCAGGAGTTCTGGCTGAGCCCACAACAACCAACTGGGACACAAATGGACTTTGAACCAATGGGACGGCAGCTACCAGGTTCATCACTTTTCCTTGATCAATCCCAACTTTGTTACAGACTAGAACTTACCGAGACAATATGACCAGAAAACTCCCGGGACAAACTGAAGATGTGAAGATCTTTTAAAGCCAGAGAACAGAACCCAGTCTGGGTTTGAAGCTTTCAGTAATCTTAAATCAGATTTATTTGGACGTTGTGTCCTCTGTGGAGGTGATAGAAGAACAGATTTATGTCAAATCTGCTGCACAGGGACACATTTGTCTCTCGCTATAAAACATAAAACTCTTTGTAAAAGAAGAATGTGTTCTCTAAAGAAATATCTGGAATTTGCAGCAAACCGGAGAAAAAAACTGCAGGAAATGAGAAAAACTTGACCTTGAAATCATTTCTCTCTCCCTGCAGTTTTTAATTTGCTTTGTTCCTCAAAAGTCAGATGTGGAATGAAAATTTTATTTTCTCAACTTTTATTCTAATTTGGATCAGATCTAATTTCCCAGAAGGAGCTTGTCCCTTTTCAATGAATCTTTCCATTTGTCCCAATAAGCTTCTGTCACATGTAACAGAGTAATACTTGTGTAAAAGTATCAGAGTCCAGGGAGGCCAAAATGGAGACGTCAGCGGCCAGAAATGATAATAACCAGAGAGATAAAACAGTCAGTGTCTATTAAAGGCAGCAGGTCGGCCAGCTGAATTCAGCCCTGCTGGGATTTGTCTTGATAAAATCTGCTGGAGTGAAGCTTCTGCAGTGAAAACAGCCTGATGTTGGCTCAGGTCAAAGGGTTTTAATTGTTCCTGTCGGACTCATTGATTCATTTCAGATACACACACTCTGTCTGCTTCACACTCAGACAAGAAGAAACACTTTTGTCCAAAAGAGACACAATAACAGCAGCTCTTCCCTCCAACAATCCAGCTCAGATCCGGACCCTCCTTGTTCTGGTCGTGTTCAACACAAAGGGAAAATGTTACTACTGGATGTGAAGTCCACCTGAACAAAGACCCAGTGTTCTCAGCCGATACAAACACAGCTGACCTTGATTGGTTACATCTCAGAAACGCTGCAGGAACTCCTGCAAAGGTCCCACATTCAACTCTCAGTCTCAAGAAGCCTGTTGGACATTTTGCTCTGCTCCCTCATCTGGAGCCACAGCAGGATCAAAGACGGGACAAACAGCAGCCTGACAGTCTTCAACATGGCCTTGTTGTGTCTGACCTGTTAGACTCTGGTCAGCTGGAGGTGAAGCTCCTCCCACCTCTCTGGACGGCCTCAGAGACAACCAGTGGTTCAGTGTGTGTGGGTTTGACAGTGTGCAGGTTACTGGATATGCTTGTGTGTTTCAGATGAACTGCACCTTGTTTAAATTTGACAAAATACTTCAAGAAGCTCCTGAACAGCCTCTCCATTTCAGCAACCATGAGGAGAAGATTCAGCAACACATCCAACATGTTCAATTAAAGGAAGAAGAGAGAGAGTTAGCAGGAGAGATATTAGAGACCCTGCAGAGGGACAGACAGCTGGACATAATGGACAAACTGCAGGGATGAAAACAAACGTCCAGAAAGAAGACAAAGATCAGACATGAGGAATGTGGTGCATGTTGGAGAGTTCCTGGAAGAGTCAGTGGTCTCCTTACCGGCTCGATAGACGAAGTGGGCCTCAGCTTCAGAAGACGACGGCGACAGCAGCTCGTCATCGAACTCGTTGGAGCTGAAGGAGCCAGAGTGGTTCCTCTTGCGAGCGTCCATGACAGCGTTGGCCACCATGACGTGCCGCAGAGAGTCGTTCAGGTAGCGGTGCAGCAGGCTGCTCTTGTACTTGGGTGGAGACACGTAGTCCTCGGTCTCCACGGCAGAACGCAGCCCTGGGTCCATGCCGATGGCCACGCCCACCATGGGGGAGCCCTCTTTCTTGATGACGCTCTGGTACAAGGGCTTGGTGAGATCCTGAGGACCGCTCTGTGTCCTCTGAGGGTTGTCTCCATCTGCAACATCAGGACATGCTCACATGACTGTTCTGTAGGTGGAGGACAGGAAGTCTTCTCCACAAAAAGAACGATCTCTTAAAACTTCAGAACAAACTTCTGTTGCCATGGTGATCTGTAGTACAAGATAAACATCATTTTTATTCAGGCTCTTGTCCCATAGAACAGTAAATGAAGCTCAACTCTCCACAGCCAGTAAGGAAAACTGTCTGAATTGATCTCTGTTGGTTTGTCTCTCAGGTCTGTTCTTCATTTACTGACAGTGAAAACCTGAAGGGAATCTGGTCTTCAAGTCTCTCAACCTACAATAAGAGCTCAGTCGACTCGTTGGGTTGTAGAACTCTCTATGGTTCAAGAACATCTGTTGTTGGTCACATTGATGCAGAAACAGTAAAGCCTGCAGCATAAGGCCTGTATATGCATAAGGTGATGTAAACCAGTGGAGCTGACTGGTTCCAGTCTCTCCATCTTCATCTGGGTCGCTGCATTTAGGTCCCATCAGTTTTTATGTGGTCATAAAGTCACTAAAACAATCAGTGGAAGTCCACATTGTAATGACTCATTTCCTCCATCAGATGTTGGACTCCAGGTTCAGTTATTGTCTCGGTTCTGTTCACCCAGTCTGAAGGAAAACGGTGATTTGGAGCTAATCTTTAATTCAAACAGCAGAACCAGGAGACTTCATCCTGCTGCTCCTGCCCACATGTTGGCATCGCCTCCAGAACAGAAAGCCCAGTCCAGACTTCAGACCCAGAACCAAACCGTAATGAATGCTGGTCCATTTCCTCTATCTGAACTCAGCCTCTGTCCCCTGCAGAATTAAATCCTTCCCAGAATGCTTTGCAGCTGAGGAGACTGAATTAGAGCCCAGCTTCCCACCTGATGAAAGAAACAGGAAGAAGATAAAACTCTGATGAAAACCCAGAGATTCTCTGGCAGCAGGGAAATCAGAAACACATCACTTCAGATTCTGTCGCTGCCAGGACTGCAGTTCTGTCATTTGGCCGGGTTAGACGTCTGGTTCAGCCTGGTCCAAATTGAGATGAGAGCTTCCATTAATCAGAACCACATGGTTCTTCCAGCATCTCCTCTGTCACCAAACAATCTGACCTTTTAATTTAATCCAATAAAAGTATTAAACTGTTCTCCTGATCAGAACATCACGTCTGCTCTGGACTCCAAGTAGAAAATAGTTTTTACTTCAGCCTGGATTTGCTGCTGCAGCTCCAGAACAAGCTGGACCGTTTCAGGACAGTAAGAGGAATGAAGACATGGTCAGCGGGGTCAGATCTGCTCCCAGAAATAGTCTCTGGAACAAAAGCATAGGCTTCAGAACATAATGGAGGGCCTTTCAGCACACGGGCCAGCAGTGGGAGCGGGCTGCGGATCGCTCCAGAACCAGAATATGACAGGGAGACGAGTCAGGGAGATATACGGAGCCTCTGGTGGTGCAGCGGCCTGCGGCACACACAACACAAACACCATGCACACATTCCTCTGGGAGCCACACGCTCAGCTTCTCCTCCTCACACACTGAGGGAGAGATTACTGACACCACAGCGCTCTGAACTTTCTGTTCATTCACTGCTGGACGACTGAACTTTGACTTTCTAACACTTCCTCACCAAAACGGGCCGAACCTTCCCGTGAGAGCCACGCTGTGTTTGCACATTTGTCAGCTCCTCTGACTGATAGAAGGAGAACATGCAGTGTTCTGGTTCTGAGCTCAGAAAATCAGATCCAAGTGTTTGTGCAGTTTGGACAGTTTGTCCTCAGAGCAGCAGGTGAGGTGTACCTTGGGAGCAGCTGTCGTCGCTGCTGACGCTCAGCCTCTCTGCGTTGCCCTGAACGTATTTGTTGTAGAGTTTGATCCGGAGCGCCCAGCTCAGGTCCGGCTGCCTCACCGTGTTCTTCAGGCGTCTCCTGGCGTTGGCGAACCAGTTGGACACCTGAGGGGGACAAAGCAGGAAGGGGACACACACGGCAAACAGGAAGATGTGTTAATGTCTAGAGTCCACACTCGTCCACATCCACAGCCAGACTAAACGTTGATCCTCAGTGGAGACGACGCCTCACTGCCTGCTAACAGTATCAGGGAGAAAAACAGCAAAAGGAGCGAGAAAGAAGACAGAGACAGAGTCTTATTCTGTCTGCAGGTAGCTGCAGCTCTCTGAACGGAGCTGAGAGGAACATCCCAGACGTTCTGCAGGAAAACTGAAGCCTCTCAGCTTTTTACTGTGTACAAAGAATCTGCTGATGGCCAGTGAACGCATCATTTCATGATCTAATGCTCTGACTGAGACACACGTCCCCATCCTGCTCATTCTGGACACGTCCAGCCTCCCTCCAGTAAGACGTTTTTTCCATCTCTGTCTTTAAGATCCAATAAAAGAGACACTTGAGCCGCTGCTCTTTCTTCCACTGGGACTGGAGACCATTAGATGTTCTACTGGAATAACTTTTCATGCTCAATAGATTTCAAGCTGCTTATGAACGGCCGGGGATGGCGGCCTCATGAGGACGGGAGGTCCCAGAGGAGACAGCATATTACCACGGAGACGGAGTTCAGGAACCATGGAGACGGCACCGGATCATCAGCTCCATCTCACAACACTGACATGGAACAAAGCTAACTGCTGCGCTACAACATGACAGATTTAGCTGCTGTTTAACACCTGCTGCCAGGTCGGCCTCTCCAGGGAAAAACACGCAGGAAGTGATGCGTTCAACGCCACTGGCAGCCTGAACAGCGGTCTGTCTGGACTAAACAGTGGAAGAACTGGGCTGTTCTCAGCAACAATTAGTGGAAAGACAGAAAGACATCATGGTCACATCTGAGTTTATGTTCACACTTTGGGACAAAATGATCACTTGTTCAGTCCAAGAATATTGAAAAAGACTGAGAAGATAAAGATTTATAACTGTTTTCATTTTACTGACGGGCAAAAAACAAGATTTTTCATCCTTAATAAAGTGAAAACAGAACCAGGTTCATCCAACAAGGAGAACAGGAACAAAAACATATTTTTGGTGTTTGAAGAAAACTTTAGATATTTTACAGCGCTGATCTTTTCACCTCAGCAACACAAAGTTAAAATATTTAGATCAAGAATTGATTTGCATCAAACCATTTTTCCAAAAATTTATATATCTATAAATGATCTCTTCAATAAAATTGAAAATATATTCATTAAACACATTTTATTTATCTATAATTATTTATAAGTTTCAACAATTGATAAAACACCATAATTATATAATTATACATGGAAGTCATTCATTACAATCTAAATTTAACATTGGTTTAAAACTAATTTTAAAAATAATCTCTCATTATTTCTGGATCTAATTTAGCCTGACCAATCAGAGACAGTCTGCAGGGATGATTCTGTTCTACAGCAGCTGATTGGTCAGCAGATAAACTGTTGTGCAGATTAAACAGCTAAATGTTATATATACACGGGATTTTTCTATGATTTTATGACCGACTGTAAAGCAGAAAATAGAAAAATAAATCAACAAATAATCAGATAATGATTTTAATGTAATAAATTTGAATTGTGTTATTTATAGTTTTCTTCTTTTAATACATTTCAACATTTACCTAAGTATGATTATTTCAACCATTATTTTACCAGCATGTTCCTTGAGAGAAAAATCTCATTTATTAATTTCTAGATGAATTTATCAAAATTTAATATTGCATTTAAATATTTATCTCATTTTTAGTCAGATTGTTGCACTTTTGACCCTCTTGCTTATTTTCAACAAATCCTCCACCTTTAACCTCTGACCCCACTAATGATATTTACACTCAAACACATGGGTGTGTCAGTGTGTGTTTGGGTCACAGGGTCCAACATCAAGCGCTCCCAGAAAAGAGAAGCAGATGAAGCACAGAGTGACCATGTGAGGAAAACACTGCTGTACACACACACCTGCACTCAGTGCTGGGTGTTCCTCTCAGCAGTCAGGCAGTCAGATAAGTTCAGATGTTCACTCTAAACTGGGAGCCATCAGCAGTTTCTAACTGTTCTGCTCTGAACATCTCACTGGTTTTTCCAGCCATCATGAAGATCAAAGTAGCAGAAATATTCCTGACTCAATTTTTTTATTATCAGAAATTAGATTTTTCTGGAGCATTTTAATGCAGCAGAACTGGTTTACATATTAAGACGTAGGAATGTTTCAGGAATATCTAAAGAAAATAATTTGTGAATAATTTCCAAATAGGTAAACATCTGTTCTCTGCAGAGTTTCTGAAACCAAAAAGTTCAGCAGGAGAAATGTATTATTATTACTCAACAAAACATATTTAGTTCTGACACTATTAGACTCTCTGGGACATGAGATGAAGCTGAGCTGCAGCTTTTGGAAGAAACAATCAAAGCCTGAGACGCTCAGCAGAGAGAGGAGAAGCTGCAGGAGGATCTGGAAGGCAGAGGAAACAACACTTCACTCCTGCTCAGCTGCTGCTAAACATTCAGGAACAGTAAAAGCTGAACTATCTAAACTCCAGCAGCCTGATCACTCTCCTGTCTCTGTGACTTTTCTTTCTCTCCTACTGGAATCAGAGCAGAAGAAAGCGTCTCACCTGGACCAGAGTCATCTGTGAGCCGAGCGCCAGCAGGATTTTCTCCGTCTTGGTCGGGTACGGGTTGTCTCTGTGCTTGTAGAGCCACTGCTTGAGCGGCCGCGCCATGTCCTGCAGGGCCTGGCGCTTGTGTCGCACTTTGCTGCCGCTGGGACGACCCCTGTGCACCAGCAGGGACAGCATTTAGACGCAGGCAAACAACCGGACACACCCGGGGCTTCAGCAAGCAGATGTCAGAAATTCATGGCGAGTCTAAAATGTCGACAGATGAATCAGAGGAACGTCCTGAACCCACAGGAGGAACACCTGAACCTGCAGATGTCAGTATGGTGCTGTTCTCCACTTCTCCTTTAGCTCCCAAAACGGCTCCACTGGCTGCAGATGGAACCCATTTTAGTTGGACCTCAAAGCGGGCCCGAGGTTCTGGTTCTCCAAATATTTTCCTTGTAATCTGGATCAGCCTGAACATCGTGGAGCGCATTTCACTCTGACCTTTGACCCCAGAGCTCTGTTAAAGAATGTTCCTCATTTGTATCCAAAAGGAAAATAATTTTGTATGAAACTGTAAGTAAATTCAGGCAGCGAGATAAAAAGTGTTCATGGAAACTCTGGCTGACGCTGCCAACATGTGTTTATGTTAGACTTTCTTTGGTTTTAATTCATCCTGTTTTTTTCATTTTCGTTTTGTTTCTTTCAGAGATTTTCTCTGGTTCTGGTGGCCTTTATGTGGTCAGACAGGAGAGTGGATTATGAGAGAGAGAAAACATGAAGCAAAGGTCATCAGGTCAGGACTGGAACCTGACAGCTGCATTGAGGACTGAGGCCTCCTCATGTGGGTCACGTGACTTTTTCACTCCTGCACCACAATTCATCCTGTTTTGATTAAATTTGACGTTGATGTTAATAAATGATTTCAGTTGGGCTAAAAAGAAATATTGCATTTGCTAAATAAATGTTATTTATAGTTACAGTTTCCAACTGAACATTTTGATTAAAGTGTTTAATAGAAGCAGAAAATGTTTTTCTTTGGAACTCCAGTCAGGAATGCATTTGGGCCTGTTTTTCCAGCTGTTTCCATTTTAACCTCCTTAACATTTTGAATAATCACCTTTTTTATATGAATATTTTTTTATGTATTTTATAAACTTTATTTGAACAAATAAATTGAAATATTCATCCTACTTATTTTCGAGATGCTGAAGGTCGGACTTTATATATTAGATTCATGAAATAACTTGTCTTTAGGCGCGGATCTAACTCGTGTCTCTGGAGCAACGAGCTACTGAACAAATATCAGCTGCGTCTTAATTCTAACCTCAGCTTTAATGGTCATTAGATCAGCAGCAGTCTAGAAAAAGGTTTATTATTGTTCTTCATCACAACCTCAGGACGAAAATATTTAGAAACTACAGTCTGAACGGAGACACTTAAAATCATGTTAGCCAAATTTGGAGCAAATGCGTATTTACGCACGTCAACAGAAAAACGTCCATCACGTTCATTATTTTATTAATACATGCACATGATAAAAACTCTGCTGAGCTACTGCTGATGGAGTTTAATAATATTTCTACTTGAAATCTAAACCCATATCAGTCTTTAAGTCTCTGGTTTAGATGTTTCATTTGCGGCGCTTATTTGCGCAAAACCCGAAGATTTAATCCCTGAGATCTGAAGAGAGTTTTTCTCCGTTTCTCGCTCAGCTAACGAGTGACCAGCAGGTTGACCAGGCTGTCAGATTTTCCCCCCGTGGGTTC